ATTAAATAATATAGACAAGTGTTGTCTATTTCTTTTATGTAAATTCTTTTCATAACGTCTGATAAGCTTAATAACATTATCATTAAACGAAAAAAGAAAATCTGATCCATATTTTTTAATCCAATCTAAGCTTTCGGCTTACATAAACACGTACATATAAGACGCTGGAAGCGAAAATCGTACCGCAGCTCATGACGTCACACATGACCACGCGAGAGGGAATTCAAGAAGTATTAAGTATGGGAAGCCGTTGGTATAAACCAGTAGCTTCTGTTACCAATTATAGGCATTTAAGGATATTTGTGGAGATTTCAAAGTTTATTTTGTTTAGGTTACGTTTCGACTGTTTTATGTATATAGAATTTTTAGTTTTTGTTTTCATTTTAAGTATAATTGTGTTTTCGACAAGGATTTTACGGAAATGTGTGTTCGGCCAGGAATGTTGTTTTAAATGCCTAAAAATGTTAGAGTTTTCATTCAAATGTAGTGTCAAGCGTCGTGAAAGCGAGTTTGTGGTGTGACCAACATAAACATTATTTAATTCGTTGGAGATACAATCTCCCAAAGGGCACTTGAATTTGTAAACTATGTTGGTTTTTTGCAAATCGCTAACCGGGGAGAAGAATCCTTGCGAAGAATTAAGTTGGATATACTAGATTTAGTGTAGTATATGATTAAGTTAATTTTTTTGCTAGGATCTGTTGTTGATATATTAGTATTTACTAAATTTTTTAGTATATTTTCATCTTGTTTATAATTAGTATGCATTTGATTACGATATAGGAAAATAATATGCTTGAGATTAGTAGAAGCAGTATTATGTACTATTTGCTTAGTATTGAGATTTCTAAGAATGCATCTTATTTGTTCATCAGCTATATAGTTTGGAAAGCTATTATTAATAAGTGTTTGTTTTATATTCTTTAGTTCACTGTAAAAATCTGTTTTGTGGATGAATTAGTTTCTGCACGATATACTAGATTTTTATAACTGCTATTTTGTGGTAATTTGGACATTCACTTTTTTAGTTAAGTGTACATGAATTTATACTTGTAGGTTTTTTGTATGGCGAAATAGTAAATTTGTTATTATTTGTGTTTATCAATATGTCAAGGAAGTGAATTTTATTATTAGAATTGAGTGCATATGTGAATTTAAGGACAGAATTATTTTGGAAACGTTTGTGAAGTTGAAGTATTTCATCTGTAATTTTAACTAACATAAGAATATCATCAACGTAGATGGATGGTTTTTAAAATCTGTAAATATCTTATTTTCGATGTTCGACATGTAGAAATTGCTAAATGTAAGACCCAGTACTGAACCCATGGAGACACCATCACGTTGTATATATATATATATATATTATTATTATGATCGAAGAAAAGGACTTCAGTCGTACAAGCTAATAGTAGTTTCCGTAATATATTATGATTAATTTTAAGTGGGGGTAAAGATAAGTTACTGTATATATTTCTTATAATTATGTCAATAGTTTCACTAACAGGGACATTGGTAAATAAGTTTTCAATATCAAGTGAAGCTATGATTTCATTGTCGGGTTTTTCACTTTTTAGGATTTGGATTACTTCTAATGTTGACTTAACACTATATTTACTAGGAAGGTAGGGAGTAATAAGTTGGTTAATGTGTTTTGTTAAATGATATACAGGAGTTGGAATTTGCGATATGATAGGACGGAGAGGATAGTTAGGTTTATGTTTTTATAGTACCGTATATGTAACCAGGTCTATAATCACCAACAATTTTAGGGAGTTTTAAAGAGTTTGTTCAGCATTATTAGCATTAATAAGTCTATTAAGCTTTGATTTTAGTTGGTTGGTCGGGTTCTTGTTAAGTTTTTTAAACTTTATGTGATCATGGAGTATGTGGTCAAGTTTTTTGTTGTAATCCAATTTGTTTAGGATGACAAAAATGTTGGTCTTATCAGCTTTTTTTACAATAATGTCAGGGTGGTTGCGTAGTTCTTGTGCGGTAATTTTCAGTTGTTTAGAAAGTATTTTTGAGGAGTTTCTGCTTTTATCATGCCGATCCATAAATGCCTCGGCCTTAAGTCTTTAAATTCTGGTGTAGTTTCTATTAGTTGTTCATCCTGGAGTTTAACGATGTCTTGGTATAGGGTCTCAATTTCTATTTTTTTAAAAAGTCAATTGTACTTAGGGTATATATGGCAGTTAGGTCCAAGGTTAAGTAATTCTTTTTGGTGCTTAGTTAGTTCATAGTTGGAAAGGTTAATGTATTTATCAGTTTTGTTAGGAAGATTGATATTACCTTTGTATAATGTATTCAGTTTTTTTTCTAATTTTAAATCGGTGTTGAGCTTCAGATTTTTGGTAATCTCCGTGAGTCTATGTGTAATTTCCACCAGTTGGTCCAGGGTAGTTATATCCTTTAGTTTATTGTAGATGTCCTATTTGTTGCTGTTAAGGGTGTTCAATTATTTCTTGGCTATTTCAATTTACCTTTTCACAAGGCTACATTTATAATTCCAAGTATTGATAGTATTGTGGGCTGCTGGATCATGTAACTTAAATTGTGCGTATTTAGACAGCATTTCATTTTCGTTTCATTAAATAATATAGACAAGTGTTGTCTATTTATTTTATGTACATTCTTTTCATAACGTTTGATAAGCTTAATAACATTATCATTAAACAAGAAAAGAAAATCGCAATATTGATCCATATTTTTTAATCCAATCTAAGCTTTCGGCTTACATAAGCCATTATCAAAGATGACAATTACTGTACAATATATTAAGTAATACACGGACAAGAATGTGATGATAGTCTGTTTCTGTTTACATGGATGATTTCCAAGCAACGATAAACACGTGCATATAAGACGATGGAAGCGAAAATCGCACCGCAGCTCATGACGTCACACATGACCACGCGAGAGTGAATTCGAGAAGTATTAAGTATGGGAAGCCGTTGGTATAAACCAATGGCTTCTGTTACCAATTATAGATATTTAAGTTTATTTGTGGAGATTTCAAAGTTTATTTTATTTAAGTTACCAGAGAGAATTTCAGATCTTGAGAGAATTAAGAATGACATTCTTCTGTTCAGAATCCTTTTGATTGTAACCTTGACGACGTGCCAGTTTAATTACAGTTGGAAGTTATTAATTTGCAAGCAAGTGACTTGTTGAAAGAGAAGCACAGGGAAGAAAAACTTCCTGAAGTTTATCGCTGCTTACCTAATGATGAGTTCTCAACGTTGAAGAAATTTTGCATTAGTGTTTGAAACAACTTATGTTTGTGAGCAGACATTTTCGAAAATGAAGTATGTAAAGTCAGCATATCGATCAAGGTTGATTGATGAACATTTGAAAGCAATTGTCTTGGTTGGATGCAGCAATTCGAAAGCAAATATTTATTTTATCTTAAAAGATAAACGCCGGTTTAGCAAATCTCATTAACTTTTTTGCTGCTTAGTTTGTGAGATTTGTATATGTGCGAACTGGATGGGATAGAACTATTTTAGTGCTAATGTCTCCTTCTTTGATAACCTTTTGGTAAATAAATATGTTTTATTATCTTTATTTTTTGTGCATTCAGCGTATTGCATTGAACAAAGTGGTTATCCGACCCGAACTCGCCATTCTCTCAGTTATCTGGCCCTCTGTGAAAAAAAGTTTGCTGACTCCCCGAGCAAAAAAAAAAAAAAAAAAAAAACGCTTACCACCGTTAAATCCTATGAGGGAATGGTTCTAGTCTTAACCCGAGTTTTACGTTCAAGCGATCTTCAGACGACTTGAACGGAAATGAAGGTCACGTGACCTTAAAACTTGAGCCATCGATTTCACCAGGAACTCTTGTGGTATGGAAGACATAACTTCTTGTATTCGCCCTTCAATTTCTTCTAAAGTCTTGGTTTGATATAGCAGACTTGTTCCTTTAACCAACTCCAAAGAAAAAAAAATCACAGGGTGTTAAGTTAGGACTCTAGGCTGGCCACTCATACATAAAGTAGGAACTTATTTTTCAATCACTCTGTATGTGTATATATATATATATATATATATATATATATATATATATATATATATATATAAAGAGAGAGAGAGAAAGAGAGAGAGAAACGGAGAAGTAATAGCGGCAAAATCAAGGCATAGAGTGTCGGCTTTTATGGCTAGATATCAAAAGACATGGAGTGGCTGATAGAAAAGCAGGTGAGTATCAAAAGGCACATTGTGGATAAAGCGAAAGAAGCATAAAAGCGAGAATACAATGAAAAGAAAAATACATGTATCTTTTTCTTTTTAATTAAACACTAGCAGTTAACTCTTCTATTTCCTTATACTCAGCCAGTGAGAAGTCCTGTTTATTAATAAGATCAGGGATTTTCCGTTTTCGCTGAAAAATCATGCGCCCGCGCACACACACACACACATATATATATATATATATATATATATATATATATATATATGTGTGTGTGTGTGTGTGTGTGTGTGTGTGTGTGTAATTGTGTGTGTGCGTATGTGTATTATTAAAAGATCTTTATGTCTGAAAAAGGAAAGGCATTAACCAGGAAAATAATTGAGAATAATGGATTTAAGGCGAACAGATTTTGTAAATAAAGAGTTGAATATTAAAAAATATAACATGAATATTTAATTAATTAAATAATTGAATTATTCAAAGACTTATTTCCACATTTAAGAGTTTCACAGTGGTTTGTTTATTTAATGGCATATTAACTCCTTATGGGTCATTTAATGACGAAATTTAATTTTCTTGGGTGCTTTGATTTGATTGCTTAATGGCATATTACCTCCTTGTGAGTCATTTAATGCCAAAATTTCATTTTCTTGGGAGCATTAGTAATTTTCTTTACAAAAATGTATTGCTCGTAATTTTTTTTTCTTCAAAATATTATTGCTGGTAATAACTTTAAATGTAAATAACGTCAGATAAATCTATAACGTAAATAACTTTATAAGAAAACATTTTTTTACTATGAAAATACAGCTTACGGCCATATCATGTTGAAACATCGGTTCCATCACCGAAGTTAAGCAGCAACAAGCCTGGTCAGTACCTAGATAGGTGACAGCTTGGGAATACCAAGTGCTGAAAGCTTGGATGTGCGGGTAGTGTAATGGATAATGGCTCGAAATTATTAATCGGAGAGTCAAGTTCCAATTCTAGCTGGGTTTGTTATATTCACTTATGCGCAAATACCCTTCCCCCAACTATGGATTAATTAGTATAACTTGTATCACTAAAACTATTATTATTATCATCTCTCCCACTCCAAAAAAATTTTGTGTACAAAATATTTACATTTCAGTATTAAATAATCCATAGAGGTTGATATACCGTTAAACAAGAAACAAATAAAAAAGCTTTGGTGAAAATTTCACGATACAAATGTATTTTTTATACTAGTGTTTGAGCCCTATTTATCCACAACTGGAACACTAAGTGCTACCATCCCGGATCACGTATATTAACTTCTATGTGTTAGTTAATACAGAAATCTAAATATTTTGACCAATTTTATGGCTTCAACTAAATATATGTTGAACGCAGTTGTATGTCTTCAACTACAGATAAAATGTATTGGTGGCGATTTTGTTAGAAAATGTATAGCTGGTAATTCTACTATAAGATGTATTGTTGGTCATTTTGATATAAAATTGTATTGTTGGTCATTTTGCTTTAAAATTGTATTGTTGATCCTTTAAAATACGTTATATCAAAAAAAAAAAAAAAGAAAACGGTAATTTTGGACGTCATCTAAATATGATTTGTTTTTTTTTTTATCTTAAAATCGTTATTATGTACATATATGGTATCGTCGGCACCTGCTTGCACCGGAGCTTTCGTGTTTTCCATTGATTTATGTCTATAAAATTATAGGAATGACTGTTAAAAATCACCCTACACTTACAATTTATTAAAAAAAAAATCCTACAAATTCATGCAGAGATATAATTCATATATATACTTTACTTATTATAAAACGCAGATTGTGTGTGTCTCTCTGTACGTTTATATATTGGATCGGATTTCCTACATTTTTTAACCAATTTCAACAAAACTTCACAGGACTACGTAAAATTACCTTGCGGTGGTTCTGACAGTGCCAAAAATTGGAAAAACACAATTGTTTTTGCACAAAATCAATTTGAAAACACGATTCTGTCGCCAGAATGAAAGGGGGACAACTCATATCGAGTTATACTTATTATAAAACCCAGGTTGTGTGTGTGTGTGTGTGTGTGTGTGTGGTGTGTGTTCGTTTATATTTGGGATCAGATTTCCTACATTTTTCAACCGATTTCAACAAAACTTCACTTTTTTTTGGCAGGTAGTGTTTCTTATTGCACACTTTTTTCTTTATTTTTACATTCAGAATGCTTTAAAAATTATATTTACAAGACAATTGTTTATAATAAAATTCTATTCAATCGATAGACTCATAACGATTGAAAACAATGTTCTTGGTATATAAAAAATTACATCGTTATCGTTATATATATACACACACACACACACACACACACACACACACACACATATATATATATATATATATATATATATATATATATATATATATATATATATATATAAGTATAAGATTGGTGTATACGGAATAAATTCCAATAACCAACAATTACTATTCTTAAAAGAGTGCTCAATACAGAGTAGAGCAAATATAATTATTTATTTGAAAATTATAACATAAATATGTTATAAAACCACTACAAAAATAGCCATTTTGTTTCAACACCTCTGGTGTCTTATCAAGTGATGATGTTGAATGTAGAATAAAGGGTTTTAAAAGGTTTAAATTAACCACCCCTCCCAAGGGGAAACGCTGTTACATAAGCTGGAATGGCCAATTAAAATACAAGTATACGAGAATTCAAAAAACTTGACAACGAAGTAAGGTTATAATAACTTTAAAGTTATAAAGTTGGGGTTATACTAAAATAGAATTTATTCTAACTTATAAGTATTAAATTATACGATAAAATTTAAAATTAAAAATTACCCATTTTAAAATCTAAATTTAATCTCTATTAAGTTTAAAATTATAAAATTACTGAGGAAAAAAGAAAAAAATACATATGTTATTCTATTTATTTTGTTTTTTATTGAAACTAAGTTGAAATAAACGTTAAGATCGACTGCTCTTAACTTTATGACAACATTCTAATCATAAGGCAAGGGAGGATGACATCTTGCAAAAGACAATACATACACAATCAGTTTATAATACATAAATACGCAGACATATTTAAATATATACGCACACAAAAATGTGACGAGACAGGAAATATCTCCATGACCCTTTACAAAAACAAACAAAAAAACACACATACATACACAATGAAAGGTGCATCAAAGTTACCATACACAAAGACACCGATAAAGACACCCACATACATTGACATAGACACTCCGATACAACAACCAAGAAATATTCAAGATTGAAAGTGTTATTAAACGAATTCTAACTACTTATCTCTGCGTTCCGGGCGACGGACCCTGGCTCAACCGCGGACCTCATCAAATTACCGGCCGAAATATTCTTCTCTTGTGGATAGATTTTTTTTACTCCTGTGGCAGTGGAGACTTTAGTTAATGACCCTCGGTCGATGGCGTTCCTTCGGAGGATTGGCGTGATTGCGTCTCGATTAAGGGACGAGCCTCGTGAAACGGAGTGGCTCTTGCAGCGTGTCTCACTGGCGATGGTTCGAGGTAATGCTTTCTCCATCATTGCGGCTGGAAGAGGATAAAAAAAATTGTTTATAGTTTCTGGAATTATCATCAAAAAATTTGTTTGTTTCGATGTTAGATTCAAAGTCATTAAGTTTTATTATTATGTCTAATCTATATCTATAATTCTCAAAATGTGTGTGTGTATGTATGTTTGTGTGTGTGTGTGTGTGTGTGTGATCGGATTTTGTTTATTTGTTTCCACAGTTTTCATCCGATTTCGATTTTTTTTGCCTGATAGATATCATCGATTTAAACAAAGATATTCACCATCAAAGATGATATTCTGTTATGTTGACAGAAGTTTGCTATGCGACGATAACGGTCGCAGAATAGCAGACGCAGGTCGTAAATTCGAGATGCGGTTCTATGACGTCGTACCAAGAGAGAGAACGAAATATTAACAACAGAACATATACATCTAAACAGAATATCATGCAATTTCATTCAAAATATATTTAATTGGAGCCACAAAATTGTTCAGAATATTTAGGTTTCGACATAGACCCACAGGGATGTTGATATGCCACTTAACGAGATCAGCCAACCAACATGGCATTAATGACATTAATCCATTAACTTCAACAAGACTACAACCTAAAATACACATATCACCGTCTCTCGTAATTAAATCCACACAAACATGTATGTGAATAAAAGCTGAGTATCATCCACCATTTATTCGATTGCGAAAGCAGAATAACATATATCATTTTTATTGTTTCAAACTCCCAAGAAAATTACATTTCAGCATTAAATGACCCATAAGTAGTTGATATGCTGTTAAACAAACAAACCAATCAATCTTTTAATATGAATTCCGTTTATTATTACATATTGTTATATTAGGTTATTCGGAAAATAATGTTCGATCAACTTATATTCCTGAATTAATATATTTAAACAGTACTTAAATTAGTTAAAATAGAAAACCTGAACATCCATTGAGTTACAAGGTTACTATTTACGCCGTTACGATAAAACTCTAAAGATTTGTACGCCAAGAACATATTTTGGCTTTAAAAAATTGCCAAGATTCTTGAAAAAAATCGACTTGAAGAAGCTGCGCTGAGCTACAAGACTATAATGGTCGCATGTACCTAGTACCCAGCCTGATATTTACTAGGTATGGTTTAATTACATATATGACCATAAATATGGATCAAGCAGGGAGCATAGGACAGTCTTCTTCTATGTGCCATGTCCCTTGAAGATGTGGGTGATCATGACTCTACATGATTTCTTAACCTTTGTAGCTCTTAGTAAATTTCCTGTTTTTGTTATCTCTCCCTGGTCTGCCAACCATTTACACAAGCTTGATACATAGATTATGCGCTGTTCTTCTCTGTCTTTATTGCTTTCAATATGTCCTGTGAATGTCATATTTTCTAAGCCCTCTTTCCTCGTTATATACCCTATAAATTGCCACTCTTTTAATGTTAATATTTTGCTTTGCTTTTGGAAGGCATCTTTGTTTATTCTAATGCGTCTTCTGATTTCCGTCCTCTTCCTAGATATTAAAATTTTTGTACTTGTTTGATTTTGGTACCTCCAATTTGTAATTTTTGCTGACAACCATACATTCTGTTGTGTTTTTTTTTTTTTTTTACAATTGATATTTAGTTCTCTTTCCTCGCTTTCCTTCACTACCTTCTGTAGGAGATCTTGCAGTTTTCTTTCTGTTATTGCTATCAGTACTGTGTCATCTACCTATCTAATTTTGTTAAGATTGTGACTGCCAGTAAGGAATCCTAGCAGGATTTCTAATTCTTCCAGAATCTCCTCAATGTACAGGTGGAATAAGTCTGGAGAGAAGACACACCCTTGTCTTACACAGCTTTCTAATTTTGTATATTTACTGAATTCATTTTCTATCCGTATATAGGGGTTTTATTTGTAGTATACGTTCTGGGTTATTCCAATATCTTTCCCAAATAAATGAACCTTACTTAGCCGTTCCAACAGTTTTTTTACGTACTTTATCAAACGTTTTTTCTCATCTATAAAACATAGGTACACATCCACTTGCATTTATATTTCTCTTTTTGATATTATTATGAGTATAAATATGGCATTCCTTTTTCGTCTTTAACGAAACCTCACTGATCTTGTCTTATTTCCGGTCTAATTCTGCTGCACTCTCTATTCATCAGAATTTGGATGATAAGTTTTGTTATGTGGCTCATTTAGTTGATTGTCCGCTGGAGTCAACATTCATTTGGCTTCTTATGCAGCGCTGTGAAAATAGGTCTAATTATGTTTTTCTGTATATCACAACTGTTGTATATTTTACTTATGTCTGTAACCATATCAATACCGAAATCATCTAAAGCATTCTATTTCAA